CGAGGCTTGCCAAATGCTGCACCTGCCACAAAATCTGCACTTCGAGGTACACCAAGTGCTGTACCTGCCACGAAATCTGCACTTTGAGGTTCACCAAGTGCTGCGCCTGCCACGAAATCTGCACTTCGAGGTTCTCAAAGCGCTGCGCCTGCCACGAAATGTGCACGTTGAGGGTCACAGAGCGCTGCGCCTGCCACGAAACCACGAAATCTGCAAACAAGCCACATGTCCAAAAGTCACGATTCACTGCACCTGTCACGAAATCTGAGCTCCTCGACGATCACCACCATGTCCAAAGTATTGCGCCTGCCACGAAAAATGCATTTCGAAGTCATATAGCTCCGATCCCTTGCACCTGTCATGAAAAGTCAACTTTGGAGCACCAAAACACGAGGCTTCCCTTAGCCTTGTGCCTGCCACTGAAAAGCGACAATCATGTGAAAATGCGCGCGGCGCCACAACGAGAGCGCAGTCGCTAGAAGCACCCGCCGCCGGCAGGCAGATTTTGTGAGCCGACGCAGTCGAAATGCACATTGACCATGTCGACGGGCATGAACGTACTGTAAATAGCAGCGAATTCGCCGGACACACCCGCGCGGCACACCTATCTAAGCACACCTGCTTTACACCTACCGTAAGAACCCCTAATGTGTCCACACTGTTTGGGTGGAAAATACCTTTTCTTTGCACCTGAGCTGCTTAACAGACTGTGAACAACAGGGTGGTTATATGCAGTTTGACAACGGCCAACGACAATCCAGGCAACGAAAACGGCAAGCCTTCCCACCAGCTGCCATCCTGAAAGCATTAGCTGCGACCAAGCAAATGTTGCGATTTAAACCTGATGGCCTGACCGCCTTTACACTGTACACAAGACAATCTGAAACAGCCCTGGTCACTGGTCACAAGCCTATGTTGAAGGCATGAGTTATATATATACTTGTCACACATACTCGCACGCTGTCAAACATACGCCAGGTGCACTCTTGCCTGGAAGGTGCCTCCTCCTGCGAAAGCAGAAACAGCAAAAAACTCTTCACCCAACCACGCAATGTGCTACCTACAGCCTGGATGTATGGCAACAATTGGAACTCCGATTGCGGCTCTCACTGGCCCTGAGTGCCCCACGCTCATCTGCGTCATTCGGAAAAAGAGCGTCCCTTAGTAACTTAGTCTTAGTACTAACCGACGTGGTAACTTACCCCGTCGCACATGACCATGACCCACCCCCATGGCACACCGCTTACCCCACTAGTAGGAACTTACCCCATTTGGAAAACACTATGGCACTCCGCTTCGAAACAAGCACTTTTTCTCCTAGATTGTTTCCAAACCTACACTATTCCATTGCGATTCAATCTTCTACACGTTGATGTTTTCTCAGGTTTTTCCCGAGTGTGCCTGCGAAGGGTTCTTCGTAATTACACCACTGTAGGCCCCAAACAGTTTGTGTTTTTCAAAATCGAAACTAGAGCTCGCGACGTCCAGAGCTGGGAGACAAAGGATTGCAAGGCAGAGGCGGCCACTGCAGCCCAGAGCTGGGAGACAAATGCAAAGGATTGCAAGGCAGAGACAGACACAGCAGTACAGAGCGGGCGGACATATCTTAAGAAAGAATTGAGAAGCCCTAACAGTAAACCTTTTGGGGAATTATTCTTCAAGCGCGAACATGATGCTGGTCATGCTGCTCAATCAGCGGGGAGCTGACCACGTGAGGACAAGAAATACAGGCGTGAGGAGCGAAGGATGTGACACGAAATTGATTTTTGGTGCCTGACGTATGCCCTCCGTCCCAACTGAACAATGAGATCGCTGCCACGCCGCCAAAACCCAATCTGGTCATTCATCCAACGCTTGTCCGAAAAGGAAAACAAAGCTGAGAGAGTTACACAGTGCGGCAGGAATGCAATCCCGGAGACAGTCACGCACCCCTTTCAAAGGAGCAAGAACCTTTCACAGGTGAACCTGTTCAAGCGGACAGAGCAGAAAACAGCAGTGCAGGCACCAAGCCTGAAAGACAAAAAGAAAGAAATCACATGGGAGACAAATGAATAGAATACATGGCCAGCAGAAAAGGGCGGCAGCACCAGTGACAGAGCCGGGAAACAAATGAATAAAAATGCTGCCTGGCCAGCGGAAAAGGGCGGACACCAGCAGTGACAGACCTGGGAAACAAATGAATAGAAATGTTGCATCGCCAGCGAAAAAGGGGCGGACACCGACAGTGACAGACCTGGGAGACTAATGAATAGAAGTGCTTGCATGGCCGGTGGAAAAGGGCGGACACCAGCAGTGACAGACCTGGGAGACAAATGAATAGAAACGCAGCATTGCGTGCGGAAAAGGGCGGACACCAGCACAGCAGTGACAGACCTAGGACAGATGAATAGAAATGCTACATGGCCAACGGAAAAGGGCGGACACCAGCAGCAACGGACCTGGGAAACAAATGAATAGAAATGCTTCATGGCAACGGACAAGGGCGGACACCACCAGTGACCGCCAGTGACAGACCCGAAAGACAAATCAATAGAAATGCCACATGGACCAGCAGTGACGGACCTGGGAGACAAATGAATAGAAATGCTTCATGGCCAATAGACAAGGACACACCAGTGACAAACCTGGGGGACAAAAGAATAGAAATGCTACATGGCCAGCAGCGACAGACCTGGGAGACAAACGAACAGAAATGATACATGGCCAACGGAAAAAGGCGGACACCTGCAGTGACAGACCTGGGAAACACATGATAGAACTGTTACGTGGCCAGCGGAAAAGGGCGGACACCAGCAGTGACAGACCTGGGAGACAAGTGAACAGAAATGCACGCCAGCAGTGACAGATCTGGGAGACAAATGAATAGAAAAGGGCGGACACCAGCAGTGACAGATCTGGGAGACAAATGAATAGAAATGCTACACGACCAGCGGAAAAGGGCGGACACCACCAGTGACAGACCTGGGAGACATATGAATAGAAGTGCTGCATGGGCAGCGGAAAAGGGCGGACACCAGCAGTGACAGACCTGGGAGACAAATGAATAGAAATGCTACATGGCCACTGGAAAGGGCGGACACCATCAGTGACACAAAGGGCGGACACATCTTAAGAAAGAAATGAGAACCCCTAACAGTGAACTGTTTGGGGAAATAGAAATGACTCCAAAGCTCGGACTCCTGTTTTGGCCAGCAGTTGACTCGATCTTCCGATTGGATCTTTTTGATCCAGGAAGTGGCCCCAAGTGTCAAGAAGGGTGGGAGCCACAGGGGGGGTGACACTTGAGATGGAAAAGACCACGTCGGCCATGCATCATCTAATCGCTCTACGTCAACATCGTTCGAAGAACCACAATGACTCCAAAGCTCGGACTCCTGTTTTGGCCAGCAGTTGACTCGATCTTCCGATTGGATCTTTTTGATCCAGGAAGTGGCCCTTCCTTGCTTCAAGCCTGCCGGGCTGCATGGCCCCCATCTTTGAAAGCCTTCTGGTCTGCCGGCGCATGCCAAATCAACTTGTCATTGAAATTCCGAGCAATGGTTTGCACATCGTAGTCGTAAAAATCCTTTGCATATGCAACGCAGAGTCTCACTGGATATGGTTGAGCCAGATGAGTTCGCCATTCACCAGTTTCGGTTTGTCCAACCAGCTGCCAATGTTTGCACTGAGTATACTGGCAGATGCCACGCTTGCCGGACCGGCATTGCTTGCCTTCGAACCGAGGCAACGTCAGCAGCACTGTCAGAAAACCAGTGGGTTTTTTGAATGGCTTACCCCAAGCACAATAATGTGGTTCATACCAATGCACCCCTTGTTTGCGAAGCAATGCTAAGATAGGAGGACATAGCCACAAGCGGGATCGAGCAGGATTCTCAAGGGATCCTCTCACATGGTGCTTGAGGCCAAGGCAGAGCAACCACACGGAAAAGCGCATCCATAGGTTGCCCGTCTCGACTTTGACTTGGTCGTGAGGTTTCAAGCCCGACAGTCCTAGTGGCTGACTGTCGGACCGGAGCGGGGGAGGGCCCGGAGGAATATCCCTCGCTCTAGTGAAGCTTTCGCAAGGCGTTCCCAAGTGGAAACCAAGCAGCGCCCCACCTCGAAGCCAGTCCCCTATCATGCGTCTCTTGGATCTAGACCTCAAATCATATTGTGTGCCCATGGAAATATCCCATACCAACACCATAACCCCTGTATGACGAGCAACAGCCTTTGCAAGATTACCGCATCCGGAAAAAATCTCCAAAAAGACAGCCACCGTCAAACTCCTAACTGGGTTCAGTGCTTCGACCGGAGGATTTGCTCTATGTCGTGCGTTGCCTGAATGCACTTGTCGAGCACCCCCGGGTCCAGCTCGTGAAGCATTTGGTTGAGGCGCCCGCCTTTTTCGTATCGGCGGACCGATGCAAAACTCTTCCAGCGCCCCCTTCTCTGTATCTCGTCCAGCCTTCTTTTCTGAAGGGCAAAATCCCTGCTTGCACCTCCATGACGAAGCCTGTATGGATGAGGGGGGCCTATTGCCTGCAAGTGCTCTGCTTTGGCTGCCTCTTCCATCACTGCTTTGAGCTGTATTGAGTTGCTTGTGAATAGCATCTGATCTTTGCCTCGAGTGCGGCTCCTCATGTGTTTGCTCACCGCCTCGGGGATGAACTGAGTCTCCAAGTCGTCGAACGTCACAGTCTCGTCGAACTCTGAGGTCTTCGACGCTACTTCCAACTCCACTGGATGCAGCACCACACTCCAAGTCCGAGCAGACTTCTTGGTGCTTTTCACTGGTGGCACCAAGTCCCGACATCTGAGTCGACTCACCTCCCCTGGCCTCAGGTAGAGGACAAAACACATCGCCATCATGAGCGCCTCCTGCAGGTAGTTGTGGTTCATAGCGTATTTGATCATCAGGCAAACCACCTCCCAGGGCAGAGGAAGACGGGACTTGGGAGGGTCCAATCTCCTCCATCCTTGCAGGGACTGCTTGGATCTTGGCAGCATCGCCTGTTTGCTCGATTTGAGGTGAGGCAGCCGGAACAGGACTGCAGCCAGCATGTAGTTGGCCTTGCTGAGGTCCTCCCCCTCCTCGAACATGTGGTTCAGCATTTCCTCCAGGCACGAATCTACCAGTGAAGGTGGGGATCTCTCGTCCAGCCGCACTGAGGTGTAGCTGATCATCCTGTCCCAACAATCCAGGTATGCCGTCCTGCTCTTCTCTGACACAGATGCCTCGGCGAGACATCCGACAGTCTGCAACTGCTCCTTTCTCTTCTCCTGACGTCTCTTCTTTGTTTCTGCCGCACTGCTGGCGGGCGTCGATTGTGAGGTCTGGAGAGGCCTCTTTTTGCTTCCCTTCTGTGGGTTCGGCTTGTCCACCACCAAGAAGCGGTGGATCATGATCTATGCCATGGGGCATCAAGGACGGTTTCGAAGGAAAGATTGAGCCTCTGGAGGGGCCATCGGCAGGGTTCCACTCTGAAGGCAACCAACGAAATGCGAGTTGAACATTGCCACCCAAACTCAAGGCTGCTACTTGTTGTGAAACCCTTCGCATCTTAAAAGACCTGCCACGACCCTTATCCAAAGCGCACACTGCTGAAATTGAGTCCGACAGAATCAATACTCTCTTTCCAAAAGTCCTACCGCTCCTCAATGCATGCCTAACTGCAAAAAGAGACGCCCTTGCTTCCAAGACTGGAATAGGTTCGAGACGAGCCCAGCGGTGTCTACCACAAACTTTCCAATCTCTGTCAACCACTGAAAAAGGCACTGTCTTGAAAATTTGGTCATGTGACTTCGGTTGCACCACCCGAATCGGCTGCGCTCCCCCTGTGTTTGTCGCCTCGTTGGAGGCCCATGCAGCGGCCGCAGCTTCCTGAGGATCGTCGGCCACTGCCATACCGAAAGCATGTTCACGAGGGCGAGAAAGGTGGGGGTAATCGAATCGCCAACGTTCCGAGAATTGACCCAGGTCAGCCACTTGCTCAACATCAAAAACTGCTGTGGTTGCTCCCATCCCCCAGTCTGATGCATCGACAGCTGTAACCTCGGTTTCCCATGGAGCGGCCAAGTCCCGCCAAATCAAGGGGCACACACCAATGAAAATGTCAAGCTCCCGACGGACCGATTTCCAAATGCGTGCCTTGTTCCAGTAATTGCGTTTGATGAAAGT